TCTAAAATGCGCTGGAAGGGGTCGAAGTCCTCTTGGAGGGGGCGGATCACCCATAAAGAGGCGGATCGCCCAACATACGCTGTGCAGAGCGCTTGCTCGACTAGCGGTCGTTGCGGGACCGCCGCGCTGTATGAGGTCGATTCCATAAGAACGCAATTGAAGCGCTTCAATTTCGATTGCTGGCAAATAGTTATGTATTTGCAAGCATGCATGGCTATTTGCCAGCAGTTGCAATTGGAGCGCATGTACTACGGGCAGGTTCGGACAACTCGTCCAACACACGTCTCCCTAAACGGCAGGGGGAGTCCCTGTCTAAGCCCCTGCCCGACGTTTTTTTCTACTTTTTCTTTCTCCATTGACCAACTTCTCACCTGCAACGTCATTATAGGTGGTCCTTACCCGCGAATTCGTTCCTGGATTGTTGCTTTAAGCATGTTGATCGTGCACCCTGGGCTCCTACACCCTTGCCCCCAGGAAAGGGGGTCCATGCCTTAATAGTTCAGGACCGTTTCCTTGATCCACAGCAGGCGAACCCAGCAGTTAAAAAGTCTGAAAGCAGTCTACGAGTACTTCCGATTAAGAGATAACAAATAGAGAACCTTATGTCGGAGGCAGTGGAATTTTAATTGCCACTCTGTGTTCTCTGTTGCATTCTGGAAGCACAATGGAGGTGCCTCCCCTCTGGCAAACTTGGAGTTTCACCGAAATTTTTCGGTTTTATCACACAGTCAAGTAGACTATGCTGGTCACTCACCAGGTATTGTTTCTAAGACATTGACATCAGCACAACTCCTAAATCGATAACTCTTTCCCCATTCTCCCAATATACACGTTACACTCCGAGCAATGCCACGAGGGAAAGCCGACAATTCTGCGAATTGCCGATCTGTATAAGAGTTGTGTGAGTGTTTGTGGTGTGGGATCTATGCCTATGGCTAAAATATAACTATCAGTTTAATAGATAGAGGAAATTGGGTTTGACATATAATGTGCTTTATGGGTTAGGCTTTTGGGATGACCACAAGTTTTCAAAAATGCCTGATTAGATTTTCGTGATACGGCTTTGAATCATAGAGCAATCCGCATGGTTGATCCCAAAAAACCCCTATGGTAGATTAACCCGTCTGACGAGGCCTATAAGGAGACCTCAAGCGTGGTTGCTGTCAATTTAGGGTACGTTGGTTGAAAGCACAAGCCAGAATAGCGACCCGCCTCTCCGCTAAGCTGGTGTGTCCTTCCCTCTATCGATCGAGCCAATTTCGCGAGGAACGCGCGACGGATCACAGAAAACACAACGGCTCCAGTCAATACTGCGAGGACTCTCCAATCAGAGTCAACCGTGCATTGCGCAGTTCTCAACGGTGCACGTGAGAGATCCCACGCGACTGTTATGTCGTTTAGAGCCGAGACGCGACAATTCGAGCATTGCGAGGTGTCGTTGTGTAAGTTCGCGCTGTGGGAGAGTACGTGCTTGATCGGATGTACGGTTATATAAATGCAACGTGAGCCGTTGGACTGGCGCAACGACATGGTTGACTCTGTCTCCAATCCCGCCACCATTTCTGCTTGATGGTAGTGAATGACGACTGTTCATGATTCTACTTAATTCATATTCAGTGTTCCAAATGTTCAAATGGGGCACTTGCGATGTGCTTCGCGAATTGCCAACGAATCTTGGTGAAGGAACTCGATTCTGAAACGAACCTGATATGCATAATTGGGTCGCCGCTGTATTGCCAAAGCCTATTTGATTCAAACTGCCGACAGTTATCAGTACACTCGATCCAAGTTTCCATAAAATTTTGCACAGCATCGGAGTGACGACTCATAAATATACTTGCTCTTAGTCTGTGAAGTCTCAGATGCAGTCACGAAGAAGAAAGTTTGTTATATGAACACTTAGACTGTGAGAAAATCAGCAAATTGTGAAGTTAGGGTCACTCATTCAACTTCTTCGGTAACATTCCTCCGATACTGCACAGCACTACTAAACATGAGCCTGCTAGGAAACGGGAATAAAGGAATGTATAAGACGAGATAAAATGGAAATGCCCAGTGGGCATGATTTCCTCGACCGTTATTCACCCTGATGCCCACTGAATCCGCATGGTGAAAGTTCAGAAGAAAAGAAGATCTAGTGCGGTATGTGACGCTAGAGAATGTGCGTTTATACTCTAACTGGATGTCGTATACTTCACCTAATCAGTTCCAGACCAGAAGGGTAGTGTTTTCATTGCTGAGCTCCAAAGGCTTGAACACAGCAAACTGAATATTTTTCTGTGTTCATCGTAATCAAAGTTCTCAACGTCTTTCTGTATGTGCAGATTTCGTCCAACCACTTCCACAACACCAAACCCACTGAATGTCTTTGAGAATCTTATTATTCTGCACTTTGTCAAAAAAAAAACCAGCCATACTGGAACCTACATGATTGTCAACATGACGTTTTTTTGCCCAGCAGAGAGCGTCATTATTTTCAAAGCCGGTGAAAGCCACATTATAATATTCCGGTGGAAGTGCTTAAACCACTTACGTCTGATCATCAGTTCCAGCGAATTCGATTCCATTGACGGGAGCGAGTTCTTCAACGGTGGTTCCGTCCTTGTCCACGAGAATTATCCTGTAGCCGCCCTGTAATAATTTGCTTTCCGGAAGGTCGAGTCGAAAACCAGACATGCTGTATACTGACATGACGTTTAGGACGCTCAACAAACTACCCTAAGCCCCAATCCAGGGTACCCAAACGGTATGTGTAACAGCTACCAGAAGCACGATAACTGGTGGTTTCCAGGGTATAATTTGGGAAGGTAAGCAGCGAAAGTGATATGCCATCGGAAAAGGAAAGGATGTCCAGTTGGAGGAAATAGTGGAATGATTAGCGTGATTATTACGTGAGCACTTCCTTTTCGACGAAAAAGAAGGACTCGTAGAGTTTTTTCTTGACAGGTTACTTAAAGGAATTCCTCACGGAAAGATCATGATTCTATTTCAGCCATAAATCACTGGCTTGAGGCTCATTATCCTTGAGAGGAATGAAAAGAACAGAAAAATCGCTTTGCTCACGTAATAATCACGCTAATCATTCCACTATTTCCTCCAACTGGACATCCTTTCCTTTTCCGATGGCATATCACTTTCGCTGCTTACCTTCCCAAATTATACCCTGGAAACCACCAGTTATCGTGCTTCTGGTAGCTGTTACACATACCGTTTGGGTACCCTGGATTGGGGCTTAGGTAGTTTGTTGAGCGTCCTAAACGTCATGTCAGTATACAGCATGTCTGGTTTTCGACTCGACCTTCCGGAAAGCAAATTATTACAGGGCGGCTACAGGATAATTCTCGTGGACAAGGACGGAACCACCGTTGAAGAACTCGCTCCCGTCAATGGAATCGAATTCGCTGGAACTGATGATCAGACGTAAGTGGTTTAAGCACTTCCACCGGAATATTATAATGTGGCTTTCACCGGCTTTGAAAATAATGACGCTCTCTGCTGGGCAAAAAAAACGTCATGTTGACAATCATGTAGGTTCCAGTATGGCCAGTTTTTTTTTTGACGAAGTGCAGAATAATAAGATTCTCAGAGGCATTCAATGGGTTTGACCTAGAAGTGGCTGGATGAAATCTGCACATACAGAAAGACGACGATTTTTGATTACGATGAACACAGAAAAATATTCAGTTTGCTGTGTTCAAGCCTTTGGAGCTCGGCAATGAAAACACTACCCTTCTGGTCTGGAACTGATTAGGTGAAGTATATGACACGAACAGCTAGAATACCGAGTTTCCCTATGCCCCATTTTTCGTAAGAAATTTCCCGATTTATTGGTCACTCCAAGTTTTATCTTGGTCTAAGCTTTCCTGATTCCTGTTTCCTAGCAGGCCATAGTAGTAGCTGCGCAGTATAGAAGGAATGTTACCGACAAAGTTGAATGGGTAACTCCAGCCTTTTTATTTTGCTGAAACATTACGCAGAGCCCCAACATTACAGAAACTGCTTGTTTTTTTCACGGTCTGACTATTCATGTAATAAAAGTCTTCGTCACGACTGCATCAGGAAGTTCACAGACCAACAGCAGGAATGTTCATATGCTGTCACTCCCGTGCCGTGCAAAATTTTATGGAAACTTTGCTCGAATCTACTGATAACGTCGGAGTTTGACATTAAATATGCTTTGCGGAACAGCGGCACCCATCAATCTCCGCTAGGCTGGAGTCAGAGTCGGCGATCCGTCGCGCGATTCGCGCGATTGCAAAAATCGCAAGTGCCCATTTGAACATTTGAAACACTGAATATGAAACAAGTAGAATCATGAACAGTCGTCATTCACCATCACCATCAAGCAGAAATGGCGGCGGGATTGGAGAGCACCTCGCAGTATTGATGGGCACTTGTGATTTCTGTGATCCGTCGCGCGATTCGCGCGAACTGCGCGATGGATCGCGGACTCTGACATCAGCCCTAGTGTGTGGTCGTTGTTTGCTTGGACATACATTGCAATGAGTTGACAGCAGGCGCTGGGGTAACCTCATTTTTTGAAAAGCTTGTGGTTATTCGAATGGCTCAACCATAACGTAATTTCTCCAAGTCAAGACTCAATATTTTACATCCACTAGATTTAGCTTTTGGCTATAGGTGAAGATGCTATACCTCAAATTGACTTCACGTTCTTCAGATCGCAATCGCAGAATGTTCGCTTCACTCGTGCCTGCTCGGAGTGTACGGTTATACTCGAACGGCAAGCACTGGAATGGGGAAAGAGTTATCGATTCAGGAGTTGTGCTGATGTCAATGTCTTAGAAACAATACCTGGTGAGTGACCAGCATAGTCTACTTGACTGTGTGATAAAACCGTGATTTCGGTGATACTCCAGTTCGAGAGGGGGCACTTCATTGTGCTTTCCGAATGAGAGTAAGGGTAAGAGTCCATTTGAAATTACTTCTGATAAGGATCAGTGTATCGTGGAAGTACTCTTTAGGTGCTTTCAGATTTCGGCCTGCTGTGGTCCAAGGA